AGGGACACTGTCAACATTGCCAGACATAATCATCATCCATCATCTATCATTTTTATTGTTATGGCATATGGATCAGATACATGGACAATGATAAATTAAATGAAACACAAGCTGAAGGTTTAAATGCTCCTGGAAAACATTGTTTCAGAAGGTTGAATTTTATTTTAAATGTATTGTGGTTAAACTAGCATTTGTCTATTATTTTATCAGACAATTGATAATTCAAAAAGTTTAATGGAGTGGATATACAGTATTTTGTACACGGACAGCCCCCTTTTGTTAATCCACTGCTGGATGAGAGCCTTCCTACAATGGCCAGTGCGGGTTGGTCAAGGTTCGGACCGTATACTTTGGAGCATTAGTACAGTAAAGTCATCTTGCGATGTACGGAACAGATAAGTTCATAAAAATGTGTCCGTAAATCGAAATTCCGTATATCGAACGCTCATTTTTTCCATTGACTTCTATTAGATATGTACATGTCCCTAAGCGGGGGAAAAAATTGCCGTAATAAAATCACACTTTTAATAATGTTGCAACCCTTTTTTGTTAAAGGCGTCATCAACACACAAAAAAGGCACGAACACGCGCCAAGGTCGGTCAATGAGGGCACTTTGAGAGCGGAAAACGAGCGCGGCTTGAAATGCACGCGGGCACAAACAACAAGACCGTGCATTTGATGGATTTCCCCCCACCAAAAATGTTTTCTTATTTAGAGATTTTACAAAAATTCCGTGAAAGTGAAATTTTACATAACACATGCGTATCACATTGCCGTCCCCTTCTTTATAAGTTACGTTCTAGCGAAATTCCGCATATTGAGATGCCGCGTAACGAAGGATGATGGTACAATTAAATATGTTCGCTAGTCTTGATTTGAGAACCAGAGAGGATGTTTGCTACACTTCCCGCTGCTGACAACACAGCCCAGCAAACAGCATTTACGTTATAAGGGAATACTCCAGAGCTAAAGTTAAACTCTTTTGGCGGGGAATTTAGGAAAGAAAAAAACACACAATGGTGTGTACTAAAATCACTAAACTACAGTAAACAACATCCCAGGTCGGTAAAGCTAAACATTGTATTGTTATTTTACCAGGTAAAGGCCCACTGATATATATAGCTCTTCATCAGAAGCAACCTCCTTGAATGATGAAAATCGTAGCCAAACTATGATCGTAATTCACACCACGAGAACTATTTTCATACGAAACACACCAAACATTCCTCGTTCAGCTGCCGGTTGTGGTACAGGGAGAGAGCCACGATTGAGCTGCTCGTCCTTGAGTTTTGGGCGTCTTTGTGTCAGGGGCTCTGCTCCACATTTAGAGATCGCCCTCCGCTCATGTGGCTGTCTGTCCACAGGCCGCTGTCTGCCACAGCCTTCGAAAATAGCATCACATTTATATCAGTTTAACACGTCGGCTTTCGCGACCAATATCAATAATAGAGGGATGTTTTTGGGGTTAGATCGCGTTAATGTGTGTCGTTAAACCCGCTACCACCCGACACAGCCAATTAGTAAAGTTTGTCACGTAAACAAAAATGCCAATTCGTTACTAGTTCAGCACACAGATGTGTTGGAGAGTGAACCCACAACATTTACAATTCGAGAACGACGTTTCGCCGGTAATTACAACGAGCCTAATCAGGCTGGTTATAATTGTTTAATGACACATTTATATTTACGAGATCTAACCCAAAGAAATCTCTATAATTAAATTGGTACAGTGTTATTACTGATTAGATGTTTGGTGAATTACACATTTTCATTTATTTTCACCACTCGGCGAGAGACAGATACCTGCGGGTTTGATTTTAAACATGCCCATTTCTCTGTCGTCGGATGCCAACATTGCAAGGTGTTTCCACACGGGCGATGTTGGGTAGTTTTTTTTCTTGCTGTACGCAGCAAGCTCTTATCTGCTAATGTTACATTTCACCTTCTGATGCGTTTCGCCAAGGGGCCGTCCATAAATGACGTCACGCGCTTTTGGACGATTTTTTACCCCCCCCCCCCCCTTCGTCACACGGCGTCACAAAAAGTCAGAACCCCCCCCCCGCTCAAATATGACGTCACAAAGCTCTGCCCCCCCCCCCAAAAAAACATGCTTCAAATCGCTTTAACCTATTGTCATTGTAGTGCGTATTTAATGTGGCGCTGCACTCTGATGTTATAGGAGAAAACATTTATTAAAAAGTCTATTTAATTAAGTAGAACGTGTTGGCTATATTTATTTAAAATTTCGCATTTTGATGTAACGTCACATTGCTCCCCCCCCCCCCCCTCGTCACACATCGTTACAAATGTCTGACCCCCCCCCCCTAGGTGCGTGACGTCATTTATGGGCGGCCCCCAACAAGCGAAAAGTTAACGCCACGCGGCTGACATTGTTGACATTGCTGCTGCTGCTAACGCTGTTGTGGAATTGCAACCTCTCCCTCCCCCTCCAATCGCCTGATTGACAGGAGACTCAACGGCGCCTATGATCGAGTGCTTTTGATTTGTAACATTAATATTCTTTGGGTCTTTCGGTAAAGTCACGTAGATATGTTTGTTATTTTCTTTGAACCTATCTACGTGACTTTATCGAAAGACCCAAAGAATATATGACTACCAAGTAACGTTTAATACATCAGATGATAACTAACAACAAGAAGCATTTATAATGACTCGTCAATTAAATCAATTAGGATTGTTTTAAATTAATTACAAATAAGACAATCGTACTCTTAGGTTTTTTCAGTAAAGTCGCGTAGGTAAAAAAATAATAAAATAATAATAATAAGAGAAAATAAATCATTTAAATAAAGAATGTATTACTCTTTTATTTTATTACTTTTTTACCTACGTGACTTTACCGAAAAAAACTCAGAGTATGAATCCTTGCAGTCACGAAAGCTTCAAATCTAGAATTAAGCCAATCGTGTGATTTCGATTCCCAGATTTGGAATCTTTCTTGGGGCTTGAGTCGACTCCATTCAGGAATCGGGAATCGATTGTACCGGGATCGACTCCCCATCCCTACTATTCATGTGCTATGAAGAAGGTCCATTGCCAGAAACGTCTTTTAATTTCCATGTTAATCCAAAAACAAATGCGAATATGCGGACTTTTTTTTTATATATTTGGGTATAATTATTTTGTTTATATTTTAATGTTTTCCATAATAGAGGTTTTTGGGTTAGATCGCGTAAATATATAAATGTGTCGTTAAACCCGCCACCACCCGACACAGCTAACTAGAAAGGGTTGTCACGTAAACAGAACATGCCAATTCGTCACTAGTACAAAAAAAAACCTCTATTATGGATGATATTGGTCGCGAAAGCCTACGTGTTAAACTTTCATATGTTTATATCGTGTTTATTTATGTATGTGTCTGTCTGCTGGTCGAATCGCCCTTGAAGAAGAGCTGCATAGCTCAATGGGTAATTCAGTCGGACAATAAACTTCCGGTTATGAATCCTTTGAAGGTCACACACAGTGTTGTTGAATTATTTTAGTTGCGTTTTCTTGTCGTACGGCTGATGTAGACGCAGAACGACAGCTACAAATTCACATTCAGGTGGTCAGGCCAGACAACAGCGTCAAGAGCAGCGGAGTGGATCTCCCTGATGTCTCCTTTGCAAGGCCGTAGCCATGTAGTCAACATTGGGGGGGTCCCAACCCAGAAAAATATCGAAATTTGAAAACTCATTTCCTGCCTAAAATATTTTAAAATTCACTAACACATGGGATGGACTTTTTATTTATTTTTTACAATAATGTCTAATAGTGTATTGTATTACATTGCTCTGTTTTTACTTTTTTACCATGTCTTGATGCATTGTATGTAATGGCAGAGATTAGGGATTAATAAAGTATAACCATAACCACAATCATATAAACAGAAATCTACGCATTGATTTATATGAAGACAAGTCCAGATATTGTGGCCAAGGTTTAGCAAATTGTTGTTTTTATTTACATAGCATATAAAGACAAAAATTTATAGCAATATATTGGGGGGAACATTTTGAGCATATTTGAATATTGGAGGGGATGTGCCCCCCCCCAATATCTATTATAATTACGGCTTTGCTCCTTTGTATTTGTGGATCGGCCATTGCGTCGTTATATGTTGTGTGGTCTGTTTTGGAATGACCACAGTCGCATACTGGATAGTTCTTAACTTTCCATATTTTTCTTCTTGGTTCTTTCGGTAAAGTCACGTAGAAGGGAAATATTAAAATAATAACAATAAAATATAATAAAGTACAATTCTCACGACGTTTCGGCCACAGCCCTGTTCTTCACCTGAGGACGGCTGCTTGCGTTGTGGCCGAAACGTTGTGAGAATTGTATTTTATTATGTTTTATTTTTATTATTTTATTATTCCCCTTCTACGTGACTTTACCGAAAAAACCAAGAAGATGAATCGCTGCAGTCACGAAAGCCTTAAATCGAAATTTCCATATTTTGTACATCGGGTTTTCGCACCTGCCATGGAATGTTGTTCAGTGGATGCGATTTCGGCTGGAGCATGAGCTTCGTGGAAGATCAAACCCAGAGGGATCTTCTGCGTTGTGTCTTTCACAAGGTGGCGTTATTTTGAGTTATTTTGAACTCCATTCAGCTCTCCAAGCGTCATCGAGGGTTGAAATCGCATTCTGATAAAGAGCTGTACAGCGGAACCCTTCTTATCGACGGAAATTGATTCCAAGAAACCGGTCATTAAGTGATTTGGTCGTTAAGCGAGTATAGGAAATACATGTTAAAGAATTGATTCGTTCCGATAGCATAGAAAGTTACCCTTTTTCACCTAAAAACATACTTTTAAATATTTAAACAATGGATATTAAGGCATAAAGATACTAACAGCATTAAAAACAATATTAAAAGAAACAGCGATTAGTCGTTAACAGGGGTGGTCGTTAAGTGGGGTTCTACAGTATAGCTCAGTGGGCCTTAGCTGGTAACATAAAACAAATCGTAATCGTAGAAGTTAAGCGCATGATGGGTCAAAGTGCTTTCAATTTTAGTGCTTTGCAATAAACCAATAGGCGCCGAGAGAGATGGGGGGGGGGGGTGAGAGGGGGTGAAAGGGGGTGAGAGGGGGGTGATAGGGGGTGAAAGGGGGGAGGGGTGAGAGGGGGTGAAAGGAGGGAGGGGTGAGAGGGGGTGAAAGGGGGGAGGGGGTGGGGGGGGTGAAAGGGGGGAGGGGGTGAGAGGGGGGAGGGGATGAGAGGGGGGGAAAGGGGGAGGGGGTGAGAGGGGGTGAAAGGGGGGAAGGGGATGAGAGGGGGTGAAAGGGGGGAGGGGGTTAGAGGGGGTGAAAGGGGGGAGGGGGTGAGAGGGGGTGGGGGGGGTGAAAGGGGGGAGGGGGTGAGAGGGGGGAGGGGGTGAGAGGGGGTGAAAGGGGGGAAGGGGGTGAGAGGGGGTGAAAGGGGGGAGGGGGTTAGAAGGGGTGAAAGGGGGGAGGGGGTGAGAGGGGGTGGGGGGGTGAAAGGGGGGAGGGGGTGAGAGGGGGGAGGGGGTGAGAGGGGGTGAAAGGGGGGAAGGGGGTGAGAGGGGTTGAAAGGGGGAGGGGTGAGAGGGGGTGAAAGGGGGGAGGGGGTGAGAGGGGGGGAAAGGGGGTGAGAGGGGGCGAAAGGGGGAGGGGGTGAGAGGGGGTGAGAGGGGGTGAAAGGGGGGAGGGTGGGAGGGGGTGAAAGGGGGGAGGGGATGAGAGGGGGGAGGGGGATAAGAGAGGGGGTAAGAAAGGGGGGGAAGAGAAAAAGGGGGCGTGCACTTGCATGCAAATGAGGCGAGGTCGTGGGCGTGGCTTCCCCGGACCCGGAAGCGCGTGGCAGTGCCGGCTCCGTGGCGACCCAGGGCGCGGCGAGGGCACTTGGTGAGCCGCTCCGCTCCGCACTTTCAGCGAGCGACAGACCGAGACGTTTGACTTTGCACTCTTTCTACTAAGGCGATAATAATTTTAAAAACCCCACGCACACATACAACGGCGAATGTCATCGCGAGAGTGCCAGCCTGCTCTTCAAATAGCCATGAAGTAACTTGAGTCTTCCGCCACCCCCGTGTCTCTCTCCTTTTCTATTTCTCTCTCTCTCTTAATGAACGAGATCGGTGCGAATTCGCGTGCGATGGTTAAACGGACGGGGGCTTTGTCGGGACGTCGCACACACGCTGCTGTTATTGTTATTGCTGCCTTTGTTTACGGTACATGCTTACGAATCCCGCTGTGATGCTCGGAGCTATATCGAGTGAAACAAGGCAGGCAATGTCATCGTTTAGATGTTTTTTCCTTGCGGTCGTAATTGTGCGTCGCCGAAAGCGACGTTGTTTGTCATTGTTGATGGGTTTGCAGGCTGCGCGCCCCTTGACTCGAGGGCTCTGCGCTTTTGTTCCGTCTCCGACCGCTTTAATTCCGTAGCCCTGGACTGGAGTTTGGGTTCAATTTAGTGTGAAATTGACCGCGTTCAAGGCATTCTCGTTTGACGCAGTGCGCACCAGCGCATTGTGCCAGCCGGTTCGCAGTGGCCAGGAATGACGAAATGTAGAAGGAAACGGGACCCCGTTGGGAGAGAAATTCACCCAGCAGTGGATTGAGAATGGTTGATGACTGTGCCTTTTGGCCAGTGTGAGTGTTTTTTTTTAAGCCGGTATTCTTCTTACACATGGCTGGATTAATAGCCGACGTGGATAGTCTTAAGTCCAGATTAGTTGGCCAGGAAAATGGCTTTCAGTTGATGTGCGGCGGTGAATTCATTGAATACCGTTTTGAATTCAGCGATTCACTGCTGTGCAGTTAGTCCATGGTGTCGTGTTTTCACAATTGCTCACCACGCTTTCCTTGAATGTCCACTTGTGAAGGTGGTGTTGGGAGCTGTCGTGAGAGTCGATGATATTAATTCATGTGGACCATAGTTTTCAGGGTGGATTCAATTCTGAAGCCTGCTTATTGGGATTCGTGATCAGACCCTTGTTACGGATATTGGTGTTTCGCCAACGTTCTGGAGCTGCTGATTGTGTAGATGAGAGTTTTACTGTTGCTTTAAACACACAGGTTCGACTCGACATCCACTAACCAAACGACCAGCAGCAGCAGCACCACCAAGGCAACGAGACGAAGCTCGCAGCAGCATGCATTCGGACAAGTCCTGCATCCGCCTGAGGGTCCTCACTCTTAACTGCTGGTAAGATGAACCGTGAGCGTGATACGAAACAATGGCTTTGTGTGCTATGAAGAATATACATTGCCCGAAACGCCCCCTCATAATGTAATTTTCCGTTCAAGATAGTATTATTGACGAATGAGTTGAGGTTTGTTATTTATGAACAATGAAGTACTTGTATGTAAATAACAAAAGAGTGCATTTTAAATGGGTCTTTGGCACTTGCTTTGCTGTTTGCTTCGCTTTCTCCGCTCAACAAAGTCATGAGACTATGTCTTTGTTGAGTAATCTGGATGCTATCTAGCCTTGTTTTTCTTAATTTATTTTTTATAAAGTTAATGCGTTGGCAGAATGTATTGCTGACCTATTCAGAGATTTGGTGGGTGGAAGTGGTTTTTCACAACGGCACTCCAAAACAAGGCCACACAACCGACTGGTACGTCGAGTTGCGTGTAATTTTAGTGTTTTCCCATGTACCAGGTCAGCCTGCGTCTTTTTTTGTAGTTGATAACATTTATTATTATTTACGTCCATTCCTATTGTGTGAGATGAAAGAACAGGCTGTTTGTTTTTAATCTCTGAGATAAAAATTACATGAAAGGGGTGAATCGCGTGTTCCTTATCAAAACAGCTGTATATGTTTTTTTAATACCAGAGTGATTTTCAGTTTCATCCTTAATGGGCTCAACTATAAATAGTTAACATTTACGTGCCTATCAGCAATCATCTGTGCATCGCATACAGAATTGCCTTCCAAATCAATAGCTGAGTTGCATATAAGAGTGAAGGTTGAGGAACCTACTGCCATAAAGCACCATCAGTGACCTTGTGACTATAATTACTCTGTACGTCATTGCATGTACAGCTATTCAATTTAATCATTCATATCAGCGTTTTTCATTTGACATTGTTCATAAGTGGGGGAGGACAATGTGTTGAGTTTTATCACTGTGTGTAACGTCGTGCAGCAAATTAAAATGTAAATCTTGTGTCGAGGAGTACTGTGGGGACCCAACGAGGGGCAACAGCGGGAAGGGGTCCAAGCAGAAAGGGGAGTGCCAGAAGGGAGAGAGAGTGGAGGGTAAGTAGAAAGACCCCAGGTAGGAGAGCCAGGTAAAAGGGAGGAGCCCGGGCTAAGGGGATAAAAGGGGAACCTGGACGGAAGGGGAGGGGAGGGGAGAGTGAGAAAGGGGAGTCGGAGAGAGAGAGAGAGAAGCCAGGTAGCAGGGAGAAAGGCTCCTGGGCCGGAGAGACAAAGGAGGCTACGGGTGGATGAGTAGGGGGGTAGCCTGGACGGAGGTCGAGGGAGTCAGGAGAGAGGGCGAGAGTCAGGGAGTAGGGGGCTACTTGCGACAGGAAGAAGTGTGCGGACGTCGGTGTGAATAAACGGCAAGCAGCCCTGTATATTCGGTCTTTGTCTGTAATCACGAAGCACGACTCGACACTTGTATGAAATCCATTCTTTCTCCAACAGGGGCATTCGGTACCTAAGCAAGCAGTGCAGCGAACGCTATGACCTCCTGCAGAAGCGCCTACTCGCCGAAAAGTACGACATCGTGATGCTGCAGGAGGCAAGTTCTTTGTTGTCCTTTAAGTCGGACGTCGAGCCTATCCAATGAAAGCACCGCGTGGGCACAAGACGGTCTAGGGCACCTTCGTCACTCTGAGTTAGCCTAAACTCTGCCTTCATTTCTGTACAACAGGTGTGGAGTGAGAAAGATTACTTGCAAATAAAGGACAGCACCAGGGAGACCTACCCACACTCGCATTACTTCAGGAGGTAACAATTACAAGGGTTTACTTTAACCGTAGCTTGCGTACAGCTGTGGTGGGAAACCTACATGTCATCTGTGTGTGTTTTTTTCCTGTTGTATATATGTAGAACTTCTTTCGCACAGTACATCGCCAACCATGCTAATCGGAGGTGCTATTAATTGCTATAATGAGATTTACTGAAAACAAATTCTAGTTTCGGATACGTATGGAAAATTGCAGATGCATTTTGTATAATAGCGAGCAAAGTAGGAATGAGTTTCTATTAACTACCTCTCTCAATCAGTCTTACGTCTTGTGTTTAACACTCCGAGGCCCTGTATGACATAGTAAAACATGTTTACGATGCTACGATGTTTTTCACAGTGGAGTCATTGGGAGTGGCCTGTGCATCCTCTCCAAACACCCGCTCGTGGACACCCTGCTTTTCAAGTATTCCGTCAACGGCTACCCATACATGGTAACCTGCATTTATCAATCACACTTTATGCAAAAATGGAAAAAAGAAACTTCATGATGTCAGCATCTGCACTGCTGCCAAGTTTTTAAGAAGCAGTTGCTCAGTGTGTGCCCGCTAAGGCAAAGTGCATTGCAGCATAGCACTTAACAAATTAAAATGACAAGGTCCAAGGACCTGCCTTTCAGTGCCCTGGGAATATGCATGATTATCACCAGCTGTGATTACCCCACTGCAGAGGTCGCAATCGGGTACCCGATACCCGTACCCTACCCGATACCCGTACCCGGCTGGGTACGGGTACGGGTAACCGTTTGCGACCCTGGTGCGGCCGGGTACGGGTACGGGTAGGCCGTGAGTCACTGGTGAGTAACCGTTTGTCACTCATTTCCCAACGTCTTGTCTCTTCTCACAATTCAAGTTCCTAGAATCAACCCACCCGCGCCTGCAACATGGCTTCATCCCAGAGGTCGCAATCGGGTACCCGTACCCGGCCGGGTATCGGGTACGGGTACCCGTATTCTACCCAGCCAGGGTACGGGTACCCATTTGTGACCCTGGTGCGGCCGGGTACGGGTAAGGAATCAAAACCCGTTTGTGACCTTTGCCCCACTGCTAGAAGAAGGCTTTGCTAAGCTGGGGTCCCTTCCATGATCGTCTAGCTGCTGCACACGAGCTGGTTTCATCGTTACACCTCCGCGGTGGACATCTTCTCGGGCACGTTCTCTCCTTTGGCTGCCACTGTGCTTAGTGTCTCGGCCAGTAGCCCTTAATATTCCCCCGTGATGTTGATCTGCCCACGTGCACTTCTCTTTACAGTAAATATGAAACCTGGCTTGGGTATGTTATCTGGTCCTATTTCAGTCACTTCATGCTGGTTGTCCATTTTTGTCATCATATTACATACAAAAACAATACAAGATGTAGCAATTCTGGGGACATTCAATTCATCTCCTTTGCCAAATTTCATTGGGCCATGACTGTTCGTGGCATTAACTATAATACACCCTTTATCTTGATTTATTCTTTAAATAAAAAGATTACATGTGTAGAAAATATATGCCATGCCATACCTTTCCTGTGCTTAATGCTGGGTGTGGGGTGACCAACAGGGAGCAGTGCAGAAATTATTTCTTGACTTTACCTGGACAGAGCTTTGAGTGTCCCACCCCTTGTGATGCAGGTTTTGTCTTGCTCTTCCAGTTTTCTTCCCACAAGCCAAACTGCTCACAAATAGAATTTGCCAAACATGTCAATGCAGAACCCTCTTGCAAAGCAGTTGAGGCAGTGAGGCTTCGCCACATGATTGAAGGGCATTAGTAACATGCATTAAACTGTGCCAATGTGCGCACGGTGTTGTGTTGCAGGTGAACCATGGAGACTGGTTTGGAGGCAAAGCCGTTGGCTTGGCTGTGATTGACATTGGAGGAATCACCGTCAACACTTACATCACACATGTAGGCACTTTGTTTGTTCATGTCGGGTTCTAAAGTTCGAACGTTCCTTGAGTACTGCTGTTGTGCAACTTTAAAAGTAATACATAGACATGGTATGTTTTATTCTATACATTGAATTGCCGGGTTTTTGTCAACTAAAGGCACACTATGAAGGCTAAAAAGGATGCATCTCAGGTTGATGATAACCCACTTCTTTAGAACTGCTTTTTGTGTTTAGTTTGTTGTCCTTCCCCCGCTCCTCCAATTAGTACAGTCGGCTACGTATGGCACCAAATAATTTCAATTTTCATACAGTAAAACCTTGGATTGCGAGTATAATTCGTTCCGGGAACGTGCTTGTAATCCAAAGCACTCGTATATCGGTTGTGATCACGTGACGCTCGCAGACAAAGCGTATACACGTCCTACTCGTATTGCAAGACCTCGCTCGTTTATCTAATTAATATTTATTTAAAAATTTGCTCGTCTTGCAAAACACTCGCAGACCAAGTTACTCGCAATCCAAGGTTTTACTGTACAACAAATAGCGTTTGTCTTTTAGATACTTATCCCAGACTATCTGATACATGTTGGAAGCTTCATTAATGAAGTCTTTTGTCTTTTGAGTTTCCTCCCTTTAAATCTCCACATCTGCTATGGCATAGGCAACACGCATTCTATCGATGTTTGAGAGAGTCCAATGTGTTTGCCATCATCTCGGCTGTGATGGTTTAAAATGCTTTTGTTATACGTTGTTGAAAACCATCGAAGATTTTTGTTTGTTACCTTGTGCAGAAAGAATACGTCACGAACATTTCAACCACACTTAACAGTCTATAGTCTTAACTGATTATAATGCTTTAGTACGGTCATGAATTATATACCGTTATAGACACCACTGTAAGTAAGTTTAAAACTCATTTGAGACAGCCCAGGAGTCGAGGTATGTTTCTAAAAGGGCTGTTGTTTTGAGTACGCTTTTATTTTAAGTAGGCGTCTCAAATCTCCAAAATACTTGTACAGTTGAGTTTGCATTCTCACAGAAGACCATTATCTGTGCAGTTCTTGTGTTTTTTTTAAGTTCCTTTAGGTTCCTTTTGCCTAAGTGTAACTCACAAATCTAAAGCACAGGCTATCGTTGTCACTTGATGTAAAAAGTCAACATGAACAGAGAAACAAAATGTTAATTCATCGTGAATTTCGCCAAAACGATGGTTGTACCTTAAGGGATAGATTAGTTACCTGGTGATGTATGTATTTATATTAAACTCCCTTGCTTTCTCGTTGTCCCGGTGGTCTTGGTTGTCGTAGCTGCATGCAGAGTACAACCGCGAGAAGGATGCCTACCACCCACACCGCGTGCTGCAGGCCTGGGAGCTTGCCCAAGTCATCCGGTACATGCCACACACCTGCTCCCCATCACACTGTCACACAACCTACGCAGTCACTAGCAAATAAAAGGAAGATGCTAAGTTAGCAGCAGACTTTTGTGCAAAAGGTATAAAGACTTTCAAAACGCCTTTGATTTGGACGTGTGGAAATAATATAGGCCAAAAATGTACCATCAATGTCCCTTGCACTGTCACATGGAATGAGCAAGAAGTACAGACCATTCACACAAGAGGTGAAGTGGTAGAAAAAATGACGACCTAAAAGATAACAACGAAGGTGTATCGGAAGTAATCGCTGTGCCCAAGGACGAGCAGTGCAAGAATTCTTGCAGCCTCATCGTCAGTCTCCATGTGGCAACTAACAGACGAGGTAGAAAAAAAGAAGTTGCTGACTATATGCTGAACATCAGTCTGAGCTGCAGATGACGATCAATAAACATAACCTCTTGCGATATTCATTTGTACCTTGCTGCCCTTGTTTTAGTGTGTGTTGTAACGTAAAAATTATTGACGTGAACTGGCACATTTACCCTTTGTTGCCTAAAAGGCTGAAATGTGATTCTGCAAATGTTTGGGTAATTGTAATTTCACATTTGCAACAGTCCTTTATATCAGTTTTTCTAGCCTGGTTAACAGTTACAAATTATCGATTTTAAGCATTTGCAGTTGTGTTTCTTTTGGATTTGTCAACTGGCTTTGTATTTGCTGCTGAAGGAATTCCAGTCATACAAGGTTTCTACAATTCACTCCATTGCTAAGAGTTGGAGTTGAGGAGTTGTGGGGCCAATTAAGGCAAACATCCAGACAACACTGGATCTGGTCTCGTGCACATGTGGCTCCGCAATGAGAAGCGGTAACAGTAGCGCTCACAGCCACAGTCATTACTTATCAATGAGCAAGGGATAGTTTCCCCATTACATAGGTTCGATTTCACCAACATGTCAAATCATTTATAACTCTGTTGGCCAAAGTCCACTCAGGTGTTCATTGTGTTTAATCAAGGGATTTTTATTCCAGGCAATGTAATAGGATAAGTAACAGCATATTAAACAATCAGAGACTATGATCTAATCAACCAGAATGCACCCAATCTCAGCGGATCTTCAAAGCGGCGTTGAGCCTGGATAGTGCTTGGAAGGTTGACCACCATAAACAGAGGTCATTGGACTGTAGGGCTATGTGGTGGGTATAACAGCGAAATCCATGTTGTACTGTACTTCTATGCTGCCACATCATGCTTCCCACATTCACAAACCCGCACTTTCTAACACGATAATGGATGCAAAGTTGGGGTTTTTAAATCTGAACCTTAAACACCAGTAATGTGTAAGTCATTGCTTTAGCAACAGCACAGTAACTGCATATATAGTCATCATTTTGATAATATGCTCCATACACTTACAAACAACACACTAATATAATAATTTCATACAAGTTGGGCCTGTTAACATATTTTTCACAGAGCTACCTTCACCCCCAAGTACATTCTGTATATTAAATGTACTAATTTTACCCCCCCCCCCCTCACCGCCCACCGCAGTCACACATCGCACGTGGCCAATGTGGTTCTCCTTGGAGGAGACCTCAACATGCACCCGGGGGACCTGGGAAATCGGTTGCTACGCTCGGTGGCCGGCCTCACCGACTCGTATGAGAAGGCCCAAAAATACGAGGCAAGGCGGCCATCTTCCCCCACAACGATTGTCTACTCCCCAGACTGGCCGCCATTTAAAGAAAATACTCAGAACCCAAGTTAAATTCTATGTAAAGGTTCCCACGATATCTGCATATCCGTGTAATCTACTGGGTTTATTTTATAATAGGCATGCAACAGTACATAGATTAATTGATGAAAAATGTTGTTACGCTTATGATACATGTCGAATATTTGGTAGTCAATTATTAATATTTTTTTTGCAAATTATATGCTCACGTTATCTTAATGTTAATGAAGTGAACAACAAACATTGTGTTTGTATTGTTAAAATGAGACGTATAATTCTGCGTTATATTGCCACGATGATTTATCATATCTCTGTGTGGGGGGTTAAATGTTACACGCATAGTTTCTACTGATGTGGAACCAGTAAAGTTGTTTGCACATATCTGTAGATTTCTGCAGTACACTCTTAGGGGTGGAGAGTGGTTTGCATTCAGCAACATGGTTTAGGTTTATCTGTATGCCAGGTAATGAAGAACTACAAATAATAAGAGTTGAAATGTTTGCAAAGGTGCTGTTGTTCAATGTGAAATGATAACTGTCTCATTGTGTGTTGTAGGGGCCACAGGATGGGTGCACGCTGCTGCCTCAGAACTGCTTTACCTGCAAAAATGAGCTGGCTACCTTTCCAAATGGAATTCGCATCGACTACATTTTGTACAAGGTATTGCCTGCCCGCATGACCACCCATTCAGCAGCCTGTCATGAATTCCACATCGTTGCTCCAAGCTGTAATCAGCCTTACCTAAATGCCTGCAGCAGAGCAGATTTTTAACAACTACTAATGTGGAAAGTATTAGCTGTGTCCGATCTGTCATATCTCTTGATGACTCTCATAAAAATTAACCAATATAAATCATAGTTTAGTTTAAAGTTCCATTCCTATGGGGAAATTGCCCTATAGAAAGCATTTAAATTGATCAAAGGGTTTCCCAAATTTGTCATTGTGTCATTTGTAAAAGCGTTTTTGGCCAAGGTGCCATCACATTCCATCTCCCCACAAGGTTACGCGCCGTGTCACTAATGCATCTCATTTTTAAAAGATGAAAATAAGTTCCATGGAATTTTAAAGGGACTTTTATTCAATATTTCATAATCCCCATTATGTGAACTTGAGTGGTAATGGAAAATAAATATGTATTCTGGTATTTTATATGGCATAAATTGTATTTTGTATAGTTGGGAAAATATTGTTAAAATATCACTTATCAATATGGCCCTTGCCATGCGAGTTAGAACCTCAACGTCGTTGCTCTTTCCTCTGGCACGGCAGGGTGTGGCCGGGTTTTCCATGAGCTGTGAAGCCGTCCACACGACCACAGGGATAAGCATCGATGGACAGGGGTTGCCTCTCTCGGACCACGAGTCTGTGACTGCCACCCTGCTCATAAAAATTCCCGATCCCAAACTCGCCAAGCCATCTCCACTAGGTGAGTACAGGGGTTGGGCAAGGGCCAGGTTCAAAGTGGCCCGTGTCATCTTCTTCAATGGCTGCTGTTGCATTTTGACCACTTGTGCCTCTTGTTCTAAATTTAAGTCTCATAGATAGCCTATATTTACATTTTTTATTACAATATAGATATATATATCAATGTTAATGCACATTCTTCAGTCATATCTGCACAAGTGATAACTTATAAATGGCAAAGTAAAGACTATGCAGCTTAAATTTCGATTTAATGCTGTCGTGACTGCAGGGATTCATATTCTTGGTTAAAAATAAAAAATAAATGTTATTGTTGTATTTTTACTAGTTTATTATTTCCCTTCTACGTGACTTAACCGAAAGAACCAAGAATATTGTGCAGCTTGTTTCTATGAATATTGTGCAAAGTTTTCTTGTGACCAGTTTTCAAAGTTGTTAGACCACGAAATGGGCAGCTAAAAATGCAAAGTTCTGTCAATTATGACAAGAATGGTCAAGCAAGCTTATTTAAAATTCGAATTTAATAACATTCAGAAAGTCAACTTGGGTTGCTAGCACATGTCATAAGAAGAGAGTAAAACTACAGAAGAAAGGTGGTGAACATGGAAGCAACAGGGTGGAGACCGAGTGACAGACCTATAAGGAGGTGATGTTGGATTGTGGAGTGGACATGGAGATGGTGCAGGACAGGAATAATTTTAGAAAGAGGACCAGGATATATGGGGAAAATGCCAAGATGTAGAATTTTGACTTAAAGCTTTCGTGACTGCAGGAATTCATATTCTTTGGGTCTTTCGGTAAAGTCACGTAGATAGGTTCAAAGAAAATAACAAAAAGCTACGACGTTTCGATGGCAACACGGGCGGTCCAAACGTCGTAGTTTTTTGTTATTTTCTTTGAACCTATTTATGTGACTTTACCGAAAGACCCAGAGAATAGTTAGAATTGTATTAAATTCAATATGGTTTAAATCATGATTGCCGAGTATGGGGGTCCAATGGCCCAACAAATGGCCAGAAACCAACAGCACTTGAAGATTTGAGGGTATAATAGATAAAGAGTGAATACATTTCTTGAATTGAGCAAGGTTATACAGGTAGGAACAACAGGTTCCACACTGTCCACCAGGGATTATTTGTCTATCGTGCATATGGGGAGGGGAGGGTGGGGGTGGGAGGGGAGGGTGGGGGGTGGGAGGGGAGGGTGGGAGGGGTGGGGCTGGGTGGGGTGGGGCCGGGTGGGGCCGGGTGGGAGGGGTGGGGAGGGGCTGGTCACCCCGTGGTGCCCTTATAAAACTCAACGTTTAACCTACACACTACACTATACAGGACACGATACACTACACTTATACAGGTAGGAACAACAGCTTCCACACTGCCCACCAGGGATTATTTGTCTGTCTGTCGTGCACGAATGTGCTGTCCAACCAAGTTCCTACCTGCCCACTCCGAAGGAACGTGTTAAAATATTGGGAAGAGAGACGATGGGAGATAATTCCAAAGTCGAGGCGTGCGAGGAATGAAACAAAGTAAAATGTTTTAGCCTGAAGCATGGTGATTGAACACACTACGGATGTGATAAAACAGTCTGGTAGAGTCCTCGACATGGGTGGACAAATCGGTGAGTGAAGTTATCATCAATTGACCACATAAGATTAAGCCTTTTGTATGTATATTGAACTTTTCCCACACCTTACGTAGGCCGACCGTGCTAATCAGAGGTGTGGGGGAATGCACAACAAACTAAACACAAAGCAGTTTGAAAGAAACGAGTTTTCAATCTCGATTTAAAAGTGCATGGCTACAGTGGCTTCCTATTATCGGAAAGAAGAGCAGACACCAAAAGATGTTACAGTTGTCTTATATTTGGAGTACTGTCGCACGTCCACACCTCACATCTTTCTCGCAGCCGAAAGCTCAGAGGAGCAGGAAGTGCTGGAGGAGGCGCGTGCAGAAGTGGCACGGGGCTTCCGCCACGCAGAGCGCCGCCGCACTCTGTCAGCGCAGCTGGGCTCGCTGTCCGGTGGGCTGCTGCTCCTCCAGGTGGTGGCGCTGGTGGCCTCCACCCTGCGATGGATGTCTCATCTCGGGCTCCCAGCCGGACGACCCTGGACTCTCGTCAACGCTCTTTTGCTCGTCGGAGTTGGGCATGTGCGCGCTGGCCACCGCGGTCGTCGCAGCTCGTCATGTACATTCTCTTCTCGGCCGAGAGCAAGGCCCTGCGCGGTGCCGAAGAGGAGATCAAGACCAAGATGAATCGGAGGGGGGCTGATCCGTAAGGCCTGAAATTTTGTGATGAAGTAAAAACACATTGCCGAACGATGTAGCGGGTTGCGTACTCGCGGCTGAACCTGCCTCGTATTTAAAACAAGCATCGCACATCATGAGTTAATAGAGTGGTACAAATTTAAGAGAATGATGACATTCCATAGGCAAGCAGCAGCAAAATTAATTATGCACTGCTTTAACACATGCTAAAATATTGTGTTCTTCTGCTTACCCATCATACATATACGTAGAAAACGAACATTTTCCCCATTTTGCTATGACATGTACTATTGGCGAGCGTCTATTTAATGATGCCTTTGTCCGTGCTGTACCATTAACGTTGCATAACTATGTGCTTGGCCATCAAGGCTAGCTTGCCGAGGTTGTGGTACAGGGAATTCACCACCATCGCCACTTGCCCAAAACGGCTGTTGTCTGCAAGGGCGATTGCACATGTACAAATCTGCATGCACAGACTCTCCTCTTAAGCAGCTAGAGATTATGGTGTACTTGTACATTTTATAAACCAGGAAAATAAGTCACCAAATATATACATTTCATATATATGTATTCAGCTGTTGTGCATTCATATTTCATTCACATATAGACCTTTGACATGAAAATAGACGCAAAATGCATTGCGTATTTTTTGTGTAGAAGCTTATTAGTTGTTGGAGGCTTATCAATTACTGTATTCAGTTCAGACTGAAACTAGACAGAATATCTTGACTTCTTGATATTTAATTTTGCATTGACGAGCAAAAAAATATTTTAAACTATAATTGAAGTTCTGTAAACTCAAATGATGATTACACTCCATTAATGTGCAATAGCCTGAACCAACATTTAAATATATTCTTGGTTAGCTCAACATTAAGGAGCTTTCGACTGAAGGGTTTTAACGAAGGTACTTGAAATGGTTTAATTGCACTTGAAAAATCTGAATAATTGTCTCTGCTGAAGGTTTGCTGGTATATGTCTGTTTGTGTCTGTTCATATGGAAAGACTGCCTTTTAGAATAGTATCCTGTTTGAAGCATGTCGAGATTCATGAAATCATATCTTAAAAACCCTTTGTTGACCCACCGATGAATGAAGGCCTTCTCATGCCATGTCGGTCATGAGGATTGTTTGATTATACTTCACCATGCTGGTCAATGTGAGTTGATGAAGAGGATACCCAGGACCAATTCAGGTATCACTCCCCATGGATCTTAGCCATAGCTGGGAATCCACTTCATTTTGCCAGGTACATAGGGCAGTGCGCGAATTGCAACACAGCGCTTCATCGATAAAACGTTTATCCGTATGGCGATGTATTTCAGATTGAATACATTTAGCTGCAACAAAAGACTTTGGGTGTGACCTGATAATACAAATTTGAAGCCCATTATGTATATTGAAAGTGTAGAAGAGCGTTTTAGATTTTCAATATTGGATTTAATTTCATGGAGGGGAAAAAAACACCAAATGATGGGAGTTGTAAATATTTGGGGGTTGCAATACAAAACCCCGTTTACGTTTTCAGCTCTCGTTAAAAACTGAAGATGTACAGGATCCCTGAAGACTGCACCTGGTTATGTTTAGGCCAGTAATTTGTCCCCAAAATATGTTTCTATCAGTGGAAATGTTAGGGTGTCAACAACAGCGTTTGAATGATTACATTCAACAGATTACCACCAAGTTCAATGCGTGAAACTTTATAAATGATAGAAGTTGTTAATATGGAAATGCACATTTTACTGTTAAGTATGTTGCTGTATAATTTAAACATTTGCAAATTAAATTGACAGTTGGACTGGACTTGCGTGGATTGATGTTTAATCTTGTGTACGTTATATCTAAGGGTCATCTTGATTGAGCCTCAATGAACAGCACGTGAGACACTGCGTTTGAAATAGAAAATTATATTCTGTATTTTATTGTTTGTACATATACGGCCATTTAGTCCAGAGGTAACGTTGAAAGTCATGGGGGTTATTTGACCATACTTCGCCACGTTGGTTACTGTGGGCTGGTGAAGGCGGGGGGGGGGGGCACGGCTCAGTCCAAAAAATGTTTTGCTGCACCCGCCCTCTGCTGCACAAAACGTCTCGACAAAATCCTCGAGAACACAATTTGTTATGCATGAAAGTTGCTCCTCCAAGAACTATTATTCAGGCTCCAACCTGCTGAACCTTAAGACGTGACGACTTCGGGGTGAATGCGTGATTTGTCATACGAAATTATATTTGTGCATTATTATAGTTGTTTTGTAGAGTGATTGACATTCAAAAGCAAGATTTGTGGGGAGTTCCCTTTGACAAGTCACCAGTCACTTCCCGTGGACTGTGCAGGGTCTGGTCATCTTTATTGCACTAGGTGGCGCAAAAGTCCAACTTTACTCCGATGTTGCATGCATCAGCCATGATCAATCCACTGATGATGGCTGGTGTTCGTTGGTTGCAATGTCCGTGCCATTAAATGGTGCCCGTTAAAATAATGACTAGTGTAAACTTCGATTCAAAGCTTTCGTGACTGCAGGGATTCATATTCTTGGTTCTTTCGGTAAAGTCACGTAGATAGAAAAAAAAGTTAATAAAAATTATCACGACGTTTCGATTGCAACACAAGCAATCATCAAGTGTGAAAACCACAGCAAGAATTTTTTTTGAAAAAAGTGCGGTTTTTTTAACCAGTGTTACGCTGATTTTAATCTGCCAGTTGCTCTTATAAGGCAATTCTCGTGTTAAATTAAAAACAGCTTCGTTTAAAACTGTTGTATAGCATATATTTGTGGAAGCGGTGGCCAATTACCACGACAAAGTATAAACATGGAGTACTATCACAAGAATAGTTGTACGCATATGATAATCCTGTATTGTCCTAACATCCAGTTTGCAAACCACGTATGTAACCACTGGTACAAACAGTAATTTATACTGGTAGGAACCTCCTGGTTACACCAGCCCACAGGGAATTATTGTGTCCGTCGTGCAGGGAGGGGCTGGGTGGGGAGGGTGGGAGGGGCTGGGTGGGGAGGGGCTGGTCAACCCGTGGTGCCCTTATAAAACTCAACATTTAACCTACTCACGCCGGCTTGTGCCCACCCTCAGTCGGGCATATTTGCAGAATACACCACGCCGCCGTTGACCCTGGCCATTGACCGAGCAACCGAACGTTCCTACCAGCTCCCTCCGCAGGAATGTGTTTTATATAGTGGCCAATGCGATATTGGATGCAGACCTCAAGCCACAGGAGTTCATGATCCACCCGTGCAACGATCCACACCAAACTAATGCCTGCCTCCAAGCTGATTCCATCACTCTATCCCCTCAATTCATGCGGTCTTGAGCAGGTTAAGACACCACCATCGGAATTCCCATCGATGGTTCAGCACTGCAGACAGTTGAGCACCACCTCGTGATTTTCAGCGTTTGCCAAGACCATCGATTTTGATAAAAAAATGTTTTACCCTTTTATCTGGCAACAAAACTGACACCTTTTTTACAAGGAGTCATGTTTGCATTGACCACAATACTTGCGGTCGGAATGCAAACAAAAAAAACACAACTCTGATAATGTATGCACTGTCCTTGAAATTGATTGGTCCACACCCGACAGCTTTTCTTAGAGCCTCGTCTCACATGGTGTTGGACCAGATGACGGCAAAAGGCACACAACTCAAAGGCAATGCACCATCAGAGTATGAGAGCTCGGGGTAAGCATTTACACCATTGGAACCTCCTTTGCCAGTACCAAAATATGATTTAAAAAAATATCTATTTTCTCAACTTCCCGACCCATTCAGACTCGCTCATCAATAACCACTTGTCACTTTCATCATTAATTCACAGATTGTATTAATGTACCACCATCCTTCTCAACTCATCTTACTATTCTGCTGTACAAATTGTTAATTCTTTGAAGTGCCTTAATTAAGGTGCTTATACATTAACAAGACAGTATTGCAAGTGAATGTCTATGAAAAAAGATCACGCATTAGTGTGGTTTTTAACTAGTTTAATGACACAGACGCGCTCAGATATTCCATTTCTTGCAAAGGGTACAGCAATGCAGATTACGTCCTTGGGTTCAGCCTTATGTTTCAAAACGTGTGGGCATTTTCCACCACATACGTCTAGCACAGTTAACAGTACTTATAACTTTGTGTTGCATGTAGTTACACAGAGCAAAGCACAGCCAGTGGAGAGCATTAGTCAGATGTACTCAAAAGACTGCACAAACACATGATAACAAGTGCACATGCTCAACCAGTGGTATTGCAAACACTGAATGCGTGAAATATACTGACCAATCACATTTAATTACTATTTCAAAATGTTGATCACATGTATTTATTTATTACGATGTTAAGCTTATCACATTGGACACATTGACAAACATGAGTAGGTTTAAAAAATATGCACAGCCATTGATAAATGGACCAAAGTTCATTGCAAATTGGTGATCGATTCTGTTAATTGGATAACTATTTACGTTGGCGTGAGAACGGCAAGGTCTAGAACATTGATGCAAACTTTGTTCTCCAGTACAGCACTCAAATAAAGTTATTGAAAATGTTCAGACATTTAACTTTTGTGTCACTACTTCTGCTGTTACAAGGGCACACAAGGTACACACATCAACATTCAAAAGGTTTGTGGTGACAAACGATTACACTGGAAGCCTAACACACAATGTGCAAAGCTGTGCTCACTTAGGCTTAGGGAAGTATATATGCCTAGCAGTGCCAAAGCCAGAAATGTTTCCTTTCTAGATTCAAATGCCCGACGCTCAACATTACAGAACGTCGAGTTTGCGACTCCCGTTTTAGAAGGTGAGCTCTTTCTGCACATTCCAGAGGGTCTCTGCACTCTTCTGAACCTGAGCCTCCTCTTCTTTCTTCAGGGTCTGGTTGATGATGTCAGTGATGCCCTCGGAGCCAAGCACACAGGGCAGGCTGAGGAAAACATCATCATGGACTCCGTGCTGACCCTGCAACAAAAAGTGCAAACGCGTATTGGATATGGCAGCACTCGGAAGAGGTTCTAAGACATCCAGATCACATAACATAATATAAAAACATAATATAAAAAAAAACAGCAGTGTGTGTGTAGTTAAACTGGTAGGAACCTCCTGGTTACACCAGCCCACAGGGAGGGGCTGGGTGGGGAGGGGCTTGTGCCCACTCTCACAGTCGGGCATATTTGCAGAATACACCACACCGCCGTTGACCCTGGCCATTGACCGAGCAACCCAACGTTCCTACCAGCTCCCTCCGCATGAATGTGTTCATGCTATTGCTAGTTCTTTTCTCACTTAACGTGCAAAACTAACAAACTCCGATTAGACAATTAAAGTGTCCTTATAAATTCCACATGCACGTAAACAAGGCAACCACATGAGCAAAGTTTAAGGAGACACTGAAAATATTCCATCTAGTGTCTCTGGCACAGCCAACGTGGCTTACACAGAGGTGGTGTGTGGTGCCGCATTCATTAAATGAACATTACCTTGCAATGCGTGGAGACGGGGTGCACACGGCGCAGATTCTTCAGGATCGACTCTGCAAGGTCGGCCACGCTCAGGCCAATGGCCCAGGAGGTGTAGCCCTTCAGCTTGATGACCTCGTAGGCACTAAAAAACCGTCATAAGTGGTCAATATGCTGTGCACAAAGAATCACTCTTGACTTTAAATATTACTCAGCAGAACATACCTTTTCAAACATCCTTCATACATTTATTACATTTTGACAGAAGTCATAAATGTTATACATGAACATAAAATGTTACCAATTTATTCAAGTTTTTTAACTGCATATTTTATAGTCTTTGTGTGTGCATCATTACATGTATAGAATTTTCAAGCACACGGATGTTAAATGTGCATAGTTAATTCTAGATTTGAAGCTTTCGTGACTGCAAGTATTCATATTCTTAGGTTTTTTCGGTAAGTCACGTAGGTAAAAAATTAAAATTAATAAAAGTAAAATAAAAAATTAAATAAAAAATCACGACGTTTCGGAGGCAACACAAGCTTCCGTCTTCAGGTGGAACCGTCACAGCACGCTTGCTGTATCAAGTAAATGAGAGATTCCAAGAGATACTACCCCGTATATATACTGGTTGAGGGGGGGGGATGGGCCAGGAATGGCCCACTTTTTAGTCACCTACGTGACTTTACCGAAAAAACCTAAGAATATGTGCATAGTTAGCAGAAGCTTACCTGTCCACCTACCTGCTTGTGCACAGACTTCCAGTCCTCACCATCCTTCGGCGTGCCGATGTCAGGGTTCAGGGACTGCAGGCCAACCCCGGCCACGTTCACGCCACTCCAAACAGGCACTGGCAGCACACAAGCAAAGCATGCTCACAATTATTAAATACATATTGAATCATTTTAATTTTCATAATTCAATGAATAGGTGCAAAGGATGACATAAAACATGGTTCGAGATTGTGTTTTCTTCTCTTGTATATTAAAACTCACACATTTTAATGCAAAATTTGTGACATTAAGTAATCTAGATGCGGGGGGGGTAAACACACAATCCTAAAATCAATATTAGCTCTATCACAATGAGCCTTATTATAGCCACACAAGAAATCAAACTGTACAACTTTACAGCCTTTCATCAATTCACTGCTAGGACAAAGACATCACCACACCATGGACTGTTATTTCATCAAACTTGGAGGGGTGAAGTGGGGGTGAGTACCAAATACTGGTTCAGATGTAACTGCCACAATAACGTTCACCAGTTCCAGGAATAGAACCAAGGATGGCCTGGGCTCCAAAAGGTAGTGCACTACAACCACTGTGCCACTGCTCCTAATAATGAACTATCAAATATAATTGCTTGCTTGCAGTTGTGGGAGACCAGACATTTTCTTACCGCTGGAGTCACCGTGCTCGCCGATGATCCAGCCGTGGCAGCTGGCGGAGTTGACGCCCAGGCGCTCGCTCATCAGGTAGCGGAAGCGAGCAGAATCCAGATTGCAGCCACTGCCGATGACGCGATGTTTGGGCAGCCCGCTCAGCTTCCATGCCACGTAGGTCAAGATGTCCACTGTCACGCACAAGGGAGAAAAACGCTGTGAACTCCAGTTGAAAAAAAAAATGTACAAAGACTAACCGCTTTAATCCACGGTGATCATTACGCAGTGTCAAATCGCTGATCGCAAAAACTTTATCGTGTAGGATTGTGAAAACAAAATTACTCGTTATCCTACATCTTGTGACTCAAAGCAATGGAGACTAAAATCAATAGCTGGGTACAAAGAAACAAGTGAACAATTTGCGAAGAGCATGAGGTTGCCATCTCGCCACTCTTTGTAGGGCCTCACCGGGGTTGGAGACGACAAGGAGGATACAGTTGGGGCTGTACTTGACGATGTTGGGGATGATGAACTTGAAGATGTTGACGTTGCGCTGCACGAGGTTGAGGCGGCTCTCGCCCTCCTGCTGACGCGCACCCGCGGTCACGACCACGAGGACGGGAGCCGGCCGTCACCGAGTAATCTACACAAGCAACCGCAAGTGTCACTCGCAAATGCATGGTCCGTCAAGGAATACAACCTTGACAAATATATATTTCATTTAAAAAATAATAACACTGATAAAAAATATATACATTAAAGAGCAAAACATTTGAAAACCCCTTTTTAAAATAAAAGGTTTTTAATTGCACTTGTCCATCTGTGAGGTGCCCAGTGTATTCTGGCGTCTGGTCACAATTAATACACACCCTTGTCAGCCACAATCTTTGCCGTCTTGAGGAAGAGGCTCCCGTGCAGCAGATCCATCATCTCTCCCTTGAGGCGGTCTTCGACCACATCCACAAGGGCCAGCTCGTCCGCCAGGTCCTGTAGTGCGTCACAACCGTGTCCTCAAGTCACCCTCAGTGTGCAAACTCACCACCGCCCACAATGCCAGAGGCAATCACGTAACAAGCAACCTTAAATATACGACACCCATAAGAACTGAACGCATGCCAACATTTTAAATATAGCATTATGTCTATGAAGTACCAACAAAACACCATGACACATCTTGCACCAGCTACAACTTGGCTTATTAAAACGCTTTGGTTTGCAAGTATTTACAATACTATAAAGTATTTTTTTTACATATAAAAAAATCCTTGGTCAAGTATCATATTTAAAATGGAAAAAGCTTGCTTCGAAACATTAACTATGAATCATTTTCAAGGGATTACTACAGTGGGTCACTCCTAGTGTGCATGGCTTCCATTCAATTTCTGTTTAAGTGATACAAGGAAATGTGACTTTTACAAGGACATTCCTAAACAAAGTTACACAGAAATATAGACCTCAAGTCCATTTACAGATAATGCTGTATCTTTTAAAAGTATTTTCAGCAAACTCATAGCTCAGCATGAAAAAGAACTTGTTTTTATACACATGACAAGCTTAAGCATGCAAACAAAGAAGCAGGTTGCTTAGAACTGCAAAAACGTTTCCCTGATTACAGATTGTCAGGTCAGATTTGTAGAGACCTTGTAAAAAATATGATTCTGTACAACAGGTACAAAAGACCTACGTTCAAATCTTTCATTTGCAAACACTACTCGATTCATAGCTAATATTATATAAATGTATTTATATGATTATCACCTACATGTTTAACATCCCCCATTGCCATGCAAGTGTTAAACACAATGTGCATGTAAACATCACCAACAATTTTGAAGTGCATTGTGGTACTCTGGTCTTAAAACACCATTAAAATACATTTGAGCAAATGTCATCGATTGACGGCAGAAGTGATTCAGTCAGACAACTGTGGACCAATTTCATCATTAGGACTCATCAGCACTTGAGTACATCACTGAAACTGCGCACACTGAAATGCTACATCTGGTCAATTTTGCTGTACGGAGTAGAGACGTGGACACTGACAACAACAGCAACAAAAAGGCTCGAAGCTTTCGAGATGTGGCTGTATGGAAGAATGCTGAAAATCCCATGGACAGCCAAAACCACCAATACACAAGTTCTGCAAGATATGGGCACTGACAGGCAACTGCTGAAGACCATCATTAGCAGGAAGTGTTACTACCTAGGCCACATTGCCCGAAACGACCACAAATACCAGCTATTAAAGCAAATCCTGGAAGGAAAAATCGAAGGGAAAAAACGACCAGGACGGCCAAAAACGACATGGCTCAGTAACATCAAAACATGGCTACAATTAACAACAGCACAAACTCTACACGCCGTGCTAGACCTGGGACCAATATCATCGTGAAGTCGCACACGCCGTTAGGCAGCACTAAAAAAGAAGCACTTCAGAAGATGCTGATGGTTTTTGCATAGGTTGTTTTAAACGTAGGTATTTCCATCATTTCCAGATTTGAATATCACACAAAAACCAGCCTTACATTTTCTATTCAAATAATTGTTGGTGTGTCAAACAGGTTCAGGGACAAACTCTGATTTGCCCTTTGCATGGGTGGGATAAATAGCTGACAGAAATATCTGAGGTGCAGAAAGAGGAGCCATCTCCCAAAAATAGCCAATACGATTACCTCCTAATACAGCACCAGCAAGAAAGTAGAGTGAGAACATAAAATAGACACTGTACCACATTATAACCGACAAAGTATACCACTTTCACGACCCCGCTGAATATCAAAGTAACACAATACAGGATGCAACGCATCCCCTTAAATTGTAGATGCAAAATACTGCTAATAAATACAAATGTTTTGTTAAAAGTACACTATTTTAATCAATGGCCCGTTTTTTCAACTACAACTTAAGCATGGGTACTGCATTGTGTAAGAGGCCTATCATAATTTAGCAGTTGTGACTGTGGGCAGACTTCGTGGAACAAGGCGTCGTGTTTATGCAGGCATTTGACTGTTTGCCACTGCAGTGACCTCTGGTCGGGAAAAAACGGATCACATGAGAAGAACAGAACAATCCATTTCACCAAATGGAGACGTATACAGTGCATGCAATACAAATATAGCTACGTGAATAGTTACTTTATTTGTAAAGGAACATACTTGCTCGTGTGCATTATTAGAACTAACCTACATTTATTTCCTCTTTGCTATGGCTGCTCCCACAAAATCTGGTTCGGTGGCTTTGTAGCTCATGACTACAATCTGTCAAACATGATTTACAGACACCATTGCAGCAGCATGATTAATATTCAACAACAAGATTAGACTTTTAACCCATTTCGTGTATTTTAATATCAAACTTACTCGAATTCGCAATATTCTATGTGCAAAGCACGGATTTAATATTATAACATTTATGAAAATATTTATACAATGATAATGTTGTTTGAATGGTTTGTTTGAAATTGATAAGGGGACAATGTTTGAAATAGCAAGGATTAAACAAAAGCAAACAAAAATGGGGACAGATAAAGGTTGCTAAAGGTCCAGATAAAGGCAGATTAAGGTCCAAGATTGTACAATAGGCAATGAAATGTATGCCATTGTAGTGCGTATGTTTAGTGCATACAGATTCTTGGGTGAGAGCCCACAGGCAGCTGGCAGTAAAGGTCAAATTAATTTAGGCCACGTTTGAAGCCTCTGGGGCCTCTCATACCCCTTGGAATTCGTGGAGATAAGTGGTCCCTTGTGACTCGAGTCGAGTTCCAAGGGACCACTTGCTCAAGGATCAGCATGGTAATGTTAGGGGTCGAAGTCTGAGGGTGTTGGTGTGTGTGGAGGTGTCCTTCTCACCCTGAGCAAGACGCTGATGGCAGCTGCCATGCCGACTTGGCCGACACCAACGATGGTCACCTTGCTGTGGGGAGGATCCCTCTCCTTGCTGGGCACCATCTCGTGGATCAGCTTTCCCTTGGTGGATGCCATGGTGTCTCAACTAGTTCTACAAAGACACAACCGGAGCATAACTTGATTACAAACGCTTCGCACATGCATATACAAATTGTATTTATATACTGTACTATGCTTATCGATGCCTGTATCATTGCGTCCATGGACAGTGTTCTGCAAATCCTCTGGATGTATTTTTCCACAACCTCTAATCTGCAATGCCGTGGGACATTTGTGAACGTGCACCATCATGCTTTGGCTGTATACATTAGACGATTAACGGTGACATCTGTAGAAACTAAAATACCAGTGGAATGTCATACAATTAATGAAAGTTTTTATCAGCTTTTCCAAGGTTTTGAAAGGTGCATCCAAATAACAAAATGTTAAATGCTTTACATTTTTGGTATCAAACTTCACAATATGCAATGGAATGTGAAATATGCATGCATTAAGAATGTTATCCACCCTCTAAATAATAGTGTAAGGGGCAGCTTTATAAATAACCCAAATTGAGATTGCGATAGAGTACTTGTATGTAAATAGACAACAGTGACCCATATAAAGATCAACTATTAATTATCAAGCTAAAAATTCCTGCATATAGAATCTTATTCATTCAAATGAAGCATGGACAGACAAAAAACTTGAGGGCAAGCCTTTAAATTGGATAACCGGTATTAAAACGCTCATACAGCGTTTTCTGCAGTGCAAACATTGATCAGATGAACAAAGCAAAATTTATGCTTACTGATAACAAGACGTTCAGTACAGTGCATTGACAAGCGTGGCTTCTGTACCATGAACAGTGCCCTTACATTTATTTTTTGGTCACATGCAATCCGCACAACAGTTGGTGTGACCGACAAGCATATATTTAACTTGCACAAGACAAATACAACCGCAGTAATCCTTGGGGACACAAGTTGTAGGTTATATAACAAAAAAAAACCCAGTGGTCTGCTTGGTAGTCATTTTCTCTCTTGCCTGCCACGAATGGTTACGGCTGCTGCTGCACGTACACCAATGTACAGTCAAATCAACTCATACTCATGGGGCCAGTGACTCAATTTCCGTTATGACACAGCATTTAGACGTCAACTAACGAGTAGTAACTGACAGGGAGAAAGCTAAAAATATTGCAATGGCTATGTCTACATTTTTCACAGCATAAATGATGAATTAACATGTTACTTGCACAATAACTCGGTTCAATGTAGCAGTGCGTGTAATAGAAACCAAACACTCACTGTGCAAACCAAACTTGCAGTCATTGCGTGTTGCTCTGGCAAAGGGCCTCCATCACAATCAGTGGGGGGGGGGCATATAATTGGCATCTGGTATTCAACAACAATCGTCAAAGGCGACAGATGTTGGGGCCATATATCTAATACAATTATAACTTTCAAAACATTGTAGTACATTAGTATAGACTTGTGGAGGTAGTAATACATCTTGCTGGATAAAACACAGGTTATATAAATGTATTCCCTCGACTTATTTGGCACCGAGCCACTCCCTGAAGGTGTGTCCTTCGTATGGAATGTGGTTGTAACCTTTAGGGGACATGCTTATGGAAGCAAGAAATCAGCAAAATAGCAACACTTTCCACGTACCATAAAGACTGCTCCTACGCTATTCAAGCTACAAGCAAAGATAATACCCCAAGCCCTAATTATGTATGACGATTAGTTTCACATATTAACTAAATGTGCAAGCCATTAAAGTTACATTAGACAACCTCTTTGTAATATTTTGTATTGATGTTTCTACCAATCTGTTCAAAAAGTGCACTTCTCTTTTTTGCAATTTTAATTCTTAACATTTGCACAATTACACAATCTTATCTCACTGCAATATCACAAATATTACATGCACAACAAATGGCAACATAATTTTTTTTTAAGTATCTTGCACATACAAACTCTTCTTGATGGATTGATTTACTCAATTTAGAAAAAAAAAATCCGATTACAAAAAAGAATGTGCATATAACTTGGGTTTACTGAAGTAGTATACTGATGATTTGACATTTAAGTCCTGCATCAATCCACTGCTAAAATATGATTTTCCCACGCCATATAGCCAATGGGAGTTGTCTGGCCATACTTCACCACTCCGGTCAGTGCGAGTTGGTGAAGGCGGGTAGACAGGACGGGGGGGGGGGGTCAGATATCACTGGCCAATGATATGAGTCAAGCAAATTACTCAGGGCGCGGGGTTCACATAGTTGCCTAAGTATCGGTGTGAATGCATTAGTCCTCCAGCAAAAAGCATAGCCCAACCAAATAGCACAGGCCCTTCCCTTGCCTACGTGGCCAAAAAGGTGGGGTGTGTGCTTTTCAACAAAACTGAAATTCCAACAAAACTGAATTTAGACATGAATATTTTACATTTTATAAGTCTATGCAAATCAACGTTCATACATTTTTTTTATTCACAGGCAATGTTTAAACTCATACACAAAATTATATTTAAAATTCTGCTACTAAACCAAGTGTCTTTACTTAAACCTATAAAAACAAATTCCAGGAGGAAAACACACCAACAGTAAAGTACTTGCAATGTACACCAAAATGAAACTGGTAACGACCCGCAATACAATAAAAAAAAACTCAACTTTCTATTACATACAATTATTGTAATTATTAGCTAGGCAAAGAATATAAATTATCCAGTATTCTATTTCGTGATAGAACACAACGTAAAAAAAATTAAGCCTAAACATTTTCCACAATGACCAAGTGCCCAACCGTGATGTAAAAGATAACTAAATAATGAATAACCCTGAGCGCATAGAATGCCGGCTGGTCTGACATCCCACGCCAAGGGCGTTTATAACCCAGACGCCAGCTTGCAGCCTGACCTCCGGGAAGACATTAAAAGTCTAACATTTAGACTTTTTTGCGGAACAATTTAATCACCATTCCAGGTGTAAATTAACACTCTTAACATGACAAAACACATCCGCAAAGTCTTCATAGCAAATAGCTAATTAAGGGCTGCGCAATGCTTAAGTAGGTCAACTCGTGCCCAAAAAAGCAACTCTAGTGCACCTATATTTTGCCTGTTACGTTTCACTGCACATCATTTCTTTAAAGATTTAAAAGAACGTATAGTCGGGACTTGTTTAGAACATCAACCTTCCTCCAACGTGGCTCCATTTCGTGTAGGTGGTGTTTGCTCAACCATCCTCCACTCGAATTTGTCCGCTGCAATGGACAATTCTGAAGTGCATGATGCACAGGACAATCCACTGCTAGATGAGGGTGTCTCCTCAAGCTGTGTCAGTCCTAGGGGCTATTTGACCATACTTCACCACGCTGGTCAGTGTGGGTTTGGTGGTGGAGAGGTTAGACGTGAGCGCATACCAATACAAAACAATGGAATATCTTCTTGGTTCTTTCGGTAAAGTCACGTAGAAGGGAAATAATAATAAAATAATAAAAATAAAACATAATAAAATACAATTCTCACAATGGATTATGTTTCACTGCCCTTATTGACATGTCAAATGTGGCCCTAAACGAGTCAAAGTGAACCAATTTTTTTAAGGAAGACCTGGGTAACAACTAAATTGTGCGTTCCAATTAAACCATCGCCTTTTTATCGGAAGGCTCAAAATTCAACCAAATATATGGTTGTACCTCTGAAAAAAAAAGCTTCATAGCTTATCGGATTCGTCCACTATAAATACATATTCTGACCGCTGCAGGAGAAGCTAATGCTGGTTGAGGGCTTCCCGGTACGAGGCCACAACTGCAGCCGTGGTGACGATCCGAGCGCGATGCAACAGGACAATCATCGCAAGCCATCGCATAATTACACATCGCCACAACTCATCGGCCTATACACGACGCCTCTCACCACACGCATGGCAGGCAGCGAGGTTGATTAAACAGGCACGAGTCAATGAAGCCAGGCTTCACATAACGGGGTTGTGTTTTCTCTCTCTCTCTCTGTCACCGACAAAGGGATGAATATATAATAATTATTGTTGTTTTGCGAGGCGCAGAATGAACATTCCTTTGCGCAGAATCGGCCTCACAAAGAGACAAAAAAATGACATTCGTTACTCAACGACGACTAGGGTTGCTGTTAATGTGTGTGTGCGTGATTAGTGATTAACGCGATATAAATGATAACGCGGTGGCCGCTTGCTAATGCCCACACGTACCGGGGAACACGACGACGGCGAGAAGCAGAGAAGAGGAGCAGGAGGCGGCGGCTGCAGGCGGCGGAGCGGGGACGCGGAGTGCGTCAGAAGCGGGGGAGCGCGCCCTCCTCTAGCCCCGCTGACGTCATCACGCACGCGGGCGAGCCCCTCCCTCGTCGCTCGTGACGTCATCACGCACGCGGGCGAGCCCCTCCCTCGTCGCTCGTGACGTCATCACGCACGCGGGCGAGCCCCTCCCTCGTCGCTCGTGACGTCATCACGCACGCGGGCGCGCGCCCTCCTCTAGCCCCGCTGACGTCATCACGCACGCGGGCGAGCCCCTCCCTCGTCGCTCGTGACGTCATCACGCACGCGGGCGCGCGCCTTATTCTCGCCCCGCTGACGTCATCACGCACGCGGGCGAGCCCCCTCTCCCTCGTCGCTCGTGACGTCATCACGCACGCGGGCGAGCACTCTACGCGCAATTCCGCTCAGGCCGTCATGACGTCATCACGCACGCGTAACCCTTCGGCGTCCACCGCCAACCTTCATCCAATGACGCGCGCGCAACTCTGCCGCAGCCTTCGACCGCTTGACGTCATCGCGCACGGTGGGGGGGGGGGGTGACCGCGCGTTGCCCCTCCCCCCCCCGCCGCCCCCCACCGTCGCAGCGTCACATCTCGCGTGACGTCACCGCGCACGCTGTCAATGCGACATACGTACGCGTGACGTCACCGCGCACCCTCATCGCACTGGGCTTCGTCTGCCGTTAGTTCGTGTGACGTCATCACGCAACACCCCCCACCCCCTTCTCATCGAGCATGCATCCACTTAGCGAAATAAATAATGTCACAATATATTTATCTCCACATAAAAAAAATGTAGGCATTTCTTACACAACCCATTAGCCGGACGACCTTCTGGGAGTGCTTTTATGTTTTTTTTCATGTGGAAAGGATATGTGGAGACATCGCTTATTTATTTTGTCATTTATATTCTCGACAACGACAAACTAACTCAGGGAGCCAACGCTACAATTACACAACTTAAGCAATGCCTATATGGTAACGCATTGTATAATTGTAGCAATCAAACTGAAATACCATTCAAATGAACGATTTTGGTAAGGTGGTAAAGAGTGACAATTTTCCAGCCCAATGAACTGCACATTAAATTAATTCAGACCAATGTTAGATGCCCTGGTGACACATTTTACCGTCCCTATTCATCTCGTGTATAGGTTGGTATCATGTTTCATGATGAATGGCCCTCACTTCTCGAGCAAGCGCCTTCTATTCATATGGTCCACCTGTTTTCAGCCATTACATTTTTGTTAAGTCATTGCCCATTGATTGTTTCCTCTAGAGGGCCGTCCATAAATGACGTCACGCACCTAGGGTGGGGGGGGGTCAGACATTTGTGACGATGTGTGACGAGAGGGGGGGTGAGAAATGTGACGTCACATCAAAATGCGCAACTTTAAATAAAGACAACACGTTCTACTTAATTAAATAGACTTTTTAATAAAAGTTTTCTCCTACAACATCAGAGTGTAGCACCACATTAAATACGCACTACAATGACAATAGTTTCAAGCGATTTGAAGCATGTTTTGTTTTGGGGGGGGGGCAGAGCTTTGTGACGTCATATTTGAGGGGGGGGGCGTCCTGACTTTTTGTGAAGCCGTGTGACGAAGGGGGGGGGGGGGGTAAAAAATCGTCCAAAATCGAGTGACGTCATTTATGGACGGCCCCAAGCCTGTAAATCTCGTTTTTCGAGCAGCCACATTGCAGGAGCATTACTCCATCCTGACGCTGAAGGGGCATTACTGATCCATTGCCAACTCAGTTTCCACAATTGCATCAGGAGTTGCAGCAACAGCGGCCTTATACAACCGTCGCCTACTCACAATGACAAAACATGTTCGAATAATTGGTTATTCACTATTCTGGCAAATCGCCCGATGATGCTGGTTGATGTAATTACCAGCGAAACGTTACGGTAGTCAAATTGTAAATGTTGTGCATTTACTCTCCAACACACAGGTGGGCTGAAGTAGTCACTAACTGGCGCGTTGTTCACGTGACAAACCTTACTGGCTGTGTCGGGTGGTGGAGGGTTACGACACATGTATACTTACGCCATCTAATCCAAAAGCCTTTATTATGAATATTGGTCGCGAAAGCCTACGTGTTAAACTGTGTTTAATTTATGTAATAAATTAAAAAATCGTATTCCCTGCCATGACCCCCTTGCCCTCCAATGCAGTCCATCACCTTTTTTTTCCAGGCGTATCGAGATGTGATTGCACTTCGATGCTAACTAAATATAAATAATTAGAGTCGTTTGTGTTAAGGATTTCTTCTTTCGAATGGCTGATGTAGATGCCGAACAGCTACGTGGAAGATCAAATCGAGGGATATTCTGCGTTGTGTCTTTCACAAGGATAATGACCGATATGTCGATAGAGTATGATTAAAACAAGTTAGATTTTCATTAAATAGAACCACAGCCAGTGTCCATCACATCTGAAGCACACATGTATACAGGTACCATATGCGGTGTTTATTAATATTTTAAGAGTTAACAACATTTCTCTATTTAAGGCCTCGACACAGAGGCGTAGTTTCTCTTTGTGCCTATGTTTGCTCTCTCTCTATGTATCTCTGTGATATATGTCTGCTTATATCTCTATCTATATGTCTCTGGTTCAGTGTTTAATCTCTGTCTCAAATTTAGCATTCTCAGGAAGAATGTAATCAACCAGATAGGGTGTTGACTGTTATGTTATCCGACTCTCTGTTGTATTACATTACATTTCTAAGTATACTAGATTTGTGTTTCTATTTAATTTATACCTGATGATGATTGCTTGTGTTGCAATCGAAACGTCGTATGCTAGTATTTAATTTAATTTATTATTGTATCTCTATACGTGACTTTACCAAAAGAACCAAAGAATAATTCCTGCAGTCACGAAAGCTCAAAATTAAGTTAACAACCTTGCAAATATCGAGGCCACATCCATTGGGTCTAACACCGACTGTACGGTTCTTGACTGCAGCTATACACAGACGACAGCTCCCAAAGCCGAAATGCGCAGTGGTCCAAAAATAACCTGAATGCGCCATTCACACTGGGGCAAACCAACTAAGGTGCTGCACATGTACTGTATTAGCAATCACCCCGTACTCTTCAACGTTATCATTCTAAAAGCCAAATACGTTTTTTGTATCAGCCATGTGGATAACGGTTAGGGTTAACGTTAACTATAGCCACATAGATGTTTAATGCAATGGCAAATCTTGGGGTTTGTTGAATGCCAGTAAAGAGATATTAAGCCCTGCTCTCTTTTAGCCTCGCCGCAGTAGTATAAGGAAGTCACGTCCGGCACGTAAGCCGCTGCGTGTGGTTTGCGGCTGACACTCCCCCATGCTCGCACGTCGGCATGACGCACCCACAATTGCTGCCCGATCTCCATCCACCTCCAGCACAAAAGCCACAATGGAACGTGTGGGCCACCCCCCTCCCCGCCAACCTTTTCCAAGCAACTGTGCCTCCCACGGGGCAAATACAGTTTGGTTTTGGTAGCATTGAGTGCAATGGTAGCGTGGAGGGTGGACACGATGAAGGGCATTGAAGGTTGGGGGCTGAAATCAATAAAATTAAATAAATATGGTCATTCACGCTGAACCTCTCTGCGTGCTGTTTTCACCGCACGATTTTATTTTTCTAAGACACTGTGCAACAAGAAGGGGTGCGTGCGACATCCATCGGCCAATTGGACCGAAAGCCTTTCATGAATAGAGTGACACCCACAGCACAAGAATGCACACAAAAAAATAATTTGATTAAATTAGATTTTTTTTTTCACTGTACAAGGGGTGGCAGTGGCTCAGGGAGGCCTCCTCCAGCAGTAGATATATCCTTGCGGATATTACTAGTTTAAAACACATTCCTGCGGAGGGAGCTGAAAGCGCATGATGCAGTGACCATCTTATTTGATGGTTAACCAAAAGCCGCTGCGAGGATGGCCAGATTTCTCGTGATGGTTTATGCTCCTTGACGAGATCAGCAAGGTATTGTTTAATTTGTGGCAAGCACTTTGTGTATAATGATTGCGACCTTATAATGTATTCTTTCGATAACTGGAAGCCAATGCAGCTCAGCGAGCACTTGGACGGACATGGCCACATCTTGCATTACCCATCACGACACGCGCCAAAGAGCTTTGTACATGATGCAGATTGGTAATGTTTTTGCCAGACGTCCCATAGAGTAGTGAGTTGCATATAATCGAACCTTGTTCATACTATGCTACACACCACCACGTGGGCCGTCATGACTCACGTGAATGTGTCGTAGAGCCCTGATATGAAAATTGCAGGACCTGACCATGTTTTGCACGTGGTAATCAAATGACATATTCCGTCTTGATCTGAAGCTTTCGTTGCTGCAGGAATCCACACTCTTTGGTTCTTTCGGTAAAGTCACGTGGGTAGAAAATAATAATAGATCACGACGTTTCGATCGCCGCACAAGCGATCGTCCTCAGGTGGGATAGAGAAACAGGCTGCTGAAACGAAGTCCTTATTATATATGTAGGGGTGTCAGGCGAAGGATTCCCACCAATAGGAGGGGGAGTGGGATGGTGACAGGAGAAGGGGGAGGAGCAAGCGAGGAGATATAAGGGAGAGAACGGGCCGGAAGGAGGGAAGCTTGACAGGTACGAGATTGAGACGGTGGGGGACAGGTGTGGATGGGAGAAAAGGAATAAAAGACGAACCCCCTGCAACCTTGTGTCGGCTCTCCTTTACATATACACAGAGCCGAGAGGTGGGGGGGGGGGATAGCCGCATTGGGCAAGAGGGTGGGGGCTAGAGATTGTGCCTAAGCGAGTGGGAAATCCAAAGATGGAAACCGAGATGGGTGCGAGTCTTAGGGGTGGCCATTGTATTGTGAGAGATTAGCATGTCAATGCAAACGAACCAACGCAAACATATATTCATTATCAACGTTTTTGGGTTTAGATCGCGTTATTTATAAATGTGTCGTAACCCTCCACCACCCGACACGACCAATCAGTAAAAAAGTGTCACGTTGACAAAAGACAAATAGTTCACTGCTTTAGCCCGCCGGTGTGTTGAAGCGTTAAACCACAAC